ACTCACTCTGTTTCTATGTCTCTGTGTTTCATGAGCATCCCCTGTTAGTCCCTGTAAATATGCCATAGGAGGCTCAGCGTGTCTCCGATACATCCAGGTGGCTTAGCCAGGAAGGAAATTTGCCAGTCACTGGTGCTGAAACAACAAAGTTTTCTATGGGATGTGCGTGCATGCATCTAAAATCCCTGACATGTGCTTGCATTTTCACTCTTCTTTTTGAGAAACATTGGTTTAAAAAAAGACATGGGAGTGGACTCCGGGTGACTCAGTGTTTGCAGAAAGCAAAACAGGGGAGTGTGCTTTACTGTTTGGATTTCGTTTCCGTCTTCATTTCAAAACCTTTGTGGCTTTAATTTTTCATGAAAAAGAATTCTTCCTTCAGACTAGCACAGCTACTCAACTGGCAAAATATTATGGTTCCCTTGGGAGGGTATAATTCACACTTTTAAATAAAAAGGGAAATCTTATTTTGTAAAGAGTTGGTATGATTTAATGGTTACTGAGTTGAGCTGAGGAGATCTGAGTTCAGACTTTGGGCTAGTCACTGTCTCTTAGTCTTACCTTTGTTGGAAGGATACACCTGGATAACCTTTGTGTTTATTGCCTTGTGCTCCCAAAATAAAAGCAAGATAGAACCATGATTTGAAGTACCAGTAAAAAACCACCATGCATGATTTAATTTCTCAACTGGAGATAACTCCCATACAATTGTTCCAGTAAGTGATGATGGTATTTTCAGTCACATACCATACCAAAGTAGGGGGAAATGAAGTATGTAGTGTTCTTTTTATTCATTTATTTAGACAGCTTATATGTAGCCCCCATCGCATAATCTGCAACACTGTCGTTGTTGGTGGGTGGGGGACAGAAGCTGATACCTGCAAAGTTCAACCAGGAGAAAGAGGATCTTCTGAACTCACCCTCTCTTCAAAGAGGCAGTCCAGTAACATCACAGGCTACAGTGGTACTGAAGGCTTAAGGCGAACTTGGTGCAGGACGGTAAAGATGTTCTGGAGAAAGTTCTGGAGAAACCGAAAGATCTAAATTAGATTAATAGTCCAAGGGAAGACCATTGAGGAAGGATGGTGTCTTAGAGTACTAAAGCCTTCATGTACATTGATTCAGCTGTCATTCACTGCAGCTTTCCCCAACTTTGTGCTCTTCAGATGTTTTGAACCATCTTTCCTGGCCCTTGGCTGGGGCTCGTGTCTGAAAGACACCAGTTTGGACAAGGCTGCTTCAGATAATCCTGTCAAGTAGGAGAGGTGTAAGGTAGAAGTAGAATTGCCTGGTGACAGTGACACATGCATTAGTTACTTTCCGATTGGACTTCTGTAACGCGCTTGATGTGGGGCTGCCCTTGAAGACAGTCCAGATACTTCAGATGGTTCAAAATAGAGCAGCCAGGTTGCTGATGGGGACTGGGCGTTATTCTCATATAACCCCAGTCCTCTACCAGCTTCACTGGCTCCCCATCGAAGTCCGGGCCCAATTCAAGGTGCTGGTTATCACCTATAAATCCCTTAACAACTTGGGACCTGGATATCTAAAGGAACGCCTGCGTCCATATCTGCCCCCCCCCCCCCCCCCCCTTTCCCCCCCCCCCCCCCCCCGCTCCTTGAGATCGGCGGCAGAGGCCCTTCTCCGGGAGCCCTCCGTGAAAGAAATTAGGAGGGTGGTTACTCAGAGGAGGGCTTTCTCTGTGGTGGCGCCCACCTATGGAATGCGCTCCCCAGAGAGGTCCTCCTGGCGCCATCGTTATTTGTTTTTTCGCGCCAGGCCAAGACCTTTTTATTTAAATGATATTTTAATGATTGTTGACATTATTTATTGGTTTTAAAATCTTTTAGCTAGGATGAATCCAGATTTTATATGTTTTTGTCTGAATAACTGTTTATTTATGATGTTGGAAGCCTTCCTGAGGCTTATGTGACTGGGACGGCATACAAAACTTCCTAAATAAATAAATAAATAGGAGTACACACTTCAAAAGCCAAGAAGAGTGTGATACGGATGCAGTGCTGACAGCTTGCTGGAAACATGTCAACCCCAGAGTGTGATTCCATCCATGTGAGGTTGCAGCTTGTAGATGCTACCATGGATCATACATGGATGTGCTTTATTATCATTATCGTTATTACACTGCATTGATATCCTTCCTGTCTTACTCTTGTGAAGAGCCCAGGGTGGCTTACCTAGCTCCATTTTGTCCTCACAACTCCAACCCTGTGATTTCATGACTGAGGGGGACTAGAACCTGGATCTCTGAATCCCTGGTCCAACACATTCCCCACCACATGGCATAAGAGGAGTTGTTGTTTTTAATGGCATCAGTTAATATGAGCAAATTAATCAAAAGAAGTAGCACCTCTCTGTTAAAATCTTCAATTGCTTTGTTTTATTGCCTCATAGTAATAATAAAAATACCTGACCTATATCTCATTAACTCAGTTAACATTAACTTGGTAAGCCATTGTCTCGTTAACATTAACTGAGTAATCCTCATGAGAATCCTGCAAGGTAGGCCAGTATTGTTATTCTGTACTGCCGATGGGGTGCTGACGCTTAGAAGCAGTAGCTTCTCCAAAGTAATATTTCTACTAGAGGATTCCCAACTTAATAGTCTACACTCTTTGGGTGCAATCCTTGGCATGTTTAGGCACAAATAGTCCTACAAATCCCAGCACCCCCAGTCAGCAATTGCTGCACCCATAAGCCCTTTGATATACCAGATGCCATGCTTTTCCCAGGATACTTTGCTGCTTCAATTGGCGCAGGAATTGGGACCACACCCACCCACCTCAGGTAGCACCATGCCCAAAGCCAATCCTGTTACCTTGGCATGTTATTTTGGCAAACCCAAAATTTCTCCCCTCTCAGGGCAGTTCAGACAAACAATAAATAACTCATAATTTGCTGTCTTTTTGTGACACCCAAAATCTGTTCCCTGAATTGGTTGCCTCGCTCTTGCTAATGGTAAGGTCAGTCCAGACAGTTCCTGAGAAATAAAAAATACTTAGACTCTGCAGTGGTTTTTACGTAAGATGCTACAAAGTTGAGGGTGGTGTGTCATCTGGGATGGGGTATCGTTGCTGAGAAGGCTGCCCCATGTCTTTGTTGCCATGAAAGGTAATCATCAGTTGATCCCAAGTTAGAGGAAACACACGTGTATTCTGTGCTCACCTGCTTGTTTTCATGGAGAGCTGGAAGCAGTTGTCTTCCGACTTTTTAGACGTCAAACCAGAATTGTAACATCACAGGTCCATAAAAAATAACAACTTAAAACCAAGTCTGATGAGACGAATAGAAGTCAAGTGCCTTAAACTGCTTCAATCAACCAAAGAACGAGGGATTGGATTTCCATCGGAGCAACACGCTTACAAATTGTAACCTTAATGGTATTACCTTAAGCCTTCAGCAGTTTTGGTCTGTTAGAGTTAAGCTGTTAAAATGATAATAGAGGTGCTCTTAATCTGATAAAATGGAAAAATTGGGGAATGATTGTGCTAGTATTAAATAACAGTATTGTTGAGCATGGACAGTTACAAATGTAGCCCCTAAAATGACAATGAAAAGATATTTTAAGCTCTTTATCTTTTTGGTCCAGTGGAAAGCATTCTGCTTAGTTGTGCTTTTATCTTCTCAAAAGCTGTATTAATTGAAAGGAGAAAGCCCATGTTTCCTCCTGTTTCTTTCTTAGAATTTAAAAAAAAACTCACAGAGGTTGTTGTTTATCTCTAGGTGTTTAGATCAGCCATGATTTTTCTCATGCTTTGCTTGTTCAAAAAAGGGGGGTATTCAAACCATTAACAATTTGACTTTTAGACATGTTTGTCCAGAATGTATGGCCACTTTGAAACGTTATAATTACCACAGTCACAAAATAATAATAATAATAACAATAATGACAATAACAACAACAATCAGCAGCAGCTTCCTAATGAGAAAGGCAATCCACTAGTTTTGAGTAGGGCCAGCTTCAAGGTTACAGGGAAGTGGGACCTAGACAAAGAGGCCTTGGTGACCTCTTGGTTTGGTGGCCACTCCTGCCTGTGGACTCATCAGCACACATCCAGGAAGCCAGAATTTCCCAGAATGCTCTGGAATCCGCTAAGGTGGCATTGCTTTGGGGCATTGTGGGAAATTTTAAATGGTGCCATTTACAGAGCCCTGGTGCCTTAGGGCAGGCAGGCCGGCCTCATAAGAATCTACAAACCTCTCCTGGCCCACCTAGCCTGGAATTGATGCTACTGACAGGCTGTGAATCTCCAGGGTTTGTGGGAAGGTCCTTTCCTCACCCTCTCCGGAGATGCCAGGGGTTGAATCTGGGGCTTCCTGCGTGCACAGCAGAGGCTCCGCCTCCAAGCTGCAACCCGTCCGTGCTGGTGTAGCGTGCTGCTTGCGGTCTTGTGAACAGAACCTCTTCTGTGCAAAGCTGGAGTGGCGGACATTTGAGGATCAAATGCATCATATCGTTCCACTCATCTGTCCTGTGGGTAGGAATATAATGGTTAGCAATTCCCTGCCCTGGGAGGCATGCAGCTGCTGTTGGTATTCATCAGCGACTGGATTTGCAACAGTGGGAGAAACAAGAATGGCAGAAGAGAGTGGCGCACCTGTATGAGGCGGAGGGCAAAGGTGCTGGAGGGTTTGGGCATCATCGCTGTTGTTTCCAGTAAGTGGCATGCAGCCCTACCCTGCTGGGTGCTCTTCAGAGGTGTCTGAGTGCAAGTCCTATCATCCTCTGGTCAGCAGTGGAATTTATGTCTGGCACATCTGCAGCGCACCTGGCTGAGGAAGTCTGCCATAATGCAATGAATATATATATATATATATATATATATATATATATATGAAAAATTGATATTTTTAATGCTGGTCAATCGTATGCCCAGGGCAATTTACAAAAAAGAATAAAACAATGCAAATGAAAACATTGAAGATGCATTTTAGAACGAATTCAGTGTAGGCTTACCCAAGAATATTGTTTTGCTCTGCAGGTTTGAAACCTTTGAAATGAATAGCTTCGAACAATTCTGCATCAACTATGCCAACGAAAAGCTACAGCAGCAGTTCAACTCGGTAATTTGGGTTTCCAGTTTTTTATCAGCAAGTTTATCTGGAGGTGGCCAGAAGGGCAGGGGTTAGGAAAGTATCCGTGCCTGGCTTTTCATGATTCAGCGTGTGTAAAAATGGCAATTCTTCAAATATATTATCTTTTTTTAAAAACACATAACATTTTTTCAGTTGGGACTATTTTGTTTTCACCAACAGCAGTATTAAGTAGAAGCACCCAGGTTGTAACAGGGGTATGATCTTATATGCGCTTCAAGTCAGAAATATATTCAATTGATGTTAGTGAACACACGCAGCCTAAATTCCAATTGCAGCTGAAAACATCTGCAACCCATCTCTTCACAGATTCAGGAACATGTAACATGAAATAAAGCATGTATTTCCGAATCTGTTTAGATGTGGAGCAGTGCATAAATATTATAATTAATAAATGCAGCTGTTGGGATTACTAACCATCCAGTGTCTTACTGGTCTAACTAATAGCACGTCCTTCTGTCAGGTAAGCAGGATTAGATTCTGTCCTTGGGACAGTTTGTCATCCTCAGTGGTGGTCCTTTTGCTTCTTTTTCCTGGGTCCAGGTTACTCTGCTCCTTCTCCTGTCCCTTCAAAGCAAGAAGGCTCCACAAAACCCCCCTGCCTGCTTTTGTGCGGTGGGACTGAACGGGGGTGACTCATGAAGCCAATGTGCCTCCTTTCCCACCCACTCAGGGCAAGGTGGTTCCTCAGAAGCCTCCCCCCTGCAATGTTTTGCCAAGTCTGTTTTAGCTTATAAGCCCTTTGGGAGAAAGGACTGGCCATGCATGTTTTGTAGGAAGCGCCAAGCACGTATACTGCATGATGGTGAGGGTCATGATGATCACAATGAACATAAGCGATGGGTTTGATGGTAGCTTGAGTCCAAGGGCAGCACCTTGAGGAATGAGCTACCCAAAGAAGAACATAGAGAAGATAGCAGCACCCACCTTCTGCCCTCAGGGAAGTAGCTTCCAGGTTGCTGAGGCCCCTGCCTCCGTCTAATGCTGAGGTGAATTTTCCAGAACACACCCATCAGTACATACAGGGACAGCCTGCCTATCCCTGGACTTGCACGACCATTTACAAATCTGCATATTTCTCTGATCTGGGCTGGCACCTGAAATGGTGTTCATTAGTGCTTGAACCTGCAAGTGATTCTCAGGGCCTCAGAAGTACAGAAATTGGAACTGAGTGGGCATCTGCCTCTTGGATGTATCTTTCTCCATGAGTTTCCATGGTGGATGCAAAGACTCCCTGAGGTAAAAGAAGTGGGAACTCTAACAATGATTGGGTAACTCCTGCCCACAGGTTGAGTGTGGGTTGTCATTGAGCTGTGGCTTCCTGATGACTCTGAGCCCCGCCAGGATAATAAACAATGGTGAACAATTCACAGCTCAAACCCAACAAACCATGGTTGTTTATAATTAACAAGCCAGGGCTTGGTAGGACACCTTGGTTGGGGTAACGTGAGAACCCTTGTTTGAACAACAATGCAACCTGCACTCAACCCATACTCAACCCTGAAGGTGGGATTATTGTGTTGTCTGAACCCAGTCAATATCTGTAGGACAGACACTTTCGGCTTGCAGTGTATGCTGTCAGGTTATCCTAAAATGACTCCAAGCTGCCTACAGATATACATCTTGTCACTTCCTCATGGAAGCATCAGAATTCAGTGGGGAAATGTACTGGGGCTCTCAGGAAATATTAGGACTGTGTCAGATTCCAGTTATGTAAATTAAATCCAAAGTAATATAGGTGTGCTTCACTTTACTTTTTAAGCACCCCTTTTAGTTCATATCAGCTTCATCTCGTGTTAAATACCCTGTATTGTTTTTGAGTGCAGCCAGAGAGGGTGGAATAAGAATTAATAAAGCACATGTTAAATCGAGGAGTTGGCTAAGTAGCTACTTATAACCACTGTCTAGGTTTTTAAAATAAAGTCTGCTACACCCCTGAGAGCATTCCTGGTTTATTATCAAATTAGTCTTTCCTAAACGCAGGCAGATTTTTACTGTCTCTTTCTGTTGCAGCATGTATTTAAATTGGAACAAGAAGAATACATGAAGGAGCAAATCCCTTGGACGCTCATAGATTTTTATGACAACCAGCCGTGCATAGATCTTATTGAAGCTAAGCTGGGTATTTTGGACTTGCTGGATGAAGAATGTAAGGTAAACAGAGTATAACAGTACAACCCTAGGTGATACGCCTGATTTTTTAAAAAATCTGTGTTTGTTGCTGATGCAGCTGAACAGAGCAGTGTACTGGATCTAATATCATTCATGCACCCATGGGATGAAAAGTGCTAGTGGAATGGTTTTCCCCTCTTCTCTGGAGCGGATTGGAGGGGTACACAGAAAGTTTTGAGGCTGTGGAGAGGATAGCAAAGGGAAGCAATGTTGGTTTTATCCTTACAGCAGCTTTGCATTACATTACTCTTTGGACAATAAAATGTCGCACTACCTCCCTCCATTTGGATTAGTGCTCCAGATTTATATTGTTCAAACTATCCATGACCGCTTTTGGAGGCTTATGAATGGACTATGAGAAGGGAAATGGCTGTCAGCCCTGATGGGGTGGGAAAAAGCCAGAGGTTCTTGTCAGAAGTGGTAACCCTTCTCAACTTGTAGCTATGGAGCAGGAGTTCCAGGGAGGAACAGCTTTGAACAGTAACACCCAAGAGAACCTCCACCACATCCTTGCCATGCTGCCCTTATTGTTGAAATGTTCTGGTAACTCTGCTGTGAAGCAGCCTCCAAGGCATTCTGATAGTCCTTTAGATGTAGTAGGAATTTTTGATAATACAGAGCAAGGAGAATCCTGTTTCCCAGCAAGTTGTCCGAAGTGGAGATTGCATCCTGAGCTGTTATGTGTTGTAGTACCTTCTGGAAAAGTATTACATAAAAACATAGAAACAGAGCGAGTCAGAAGGGGTCTCCTGGACCATCTAGTCTGACCCCTGGCTCCAGTCGGCTCCGCTCATGACATGCCCACCATGTGCATGTCTAGCCTATCCTTGAACACCCGCACCGATGGGGCCTCAACCACCTCCCCTGGGAGCCCATTCCATACCCTCGGGGTCCTGACTGTCAGAAAGTGCTTCCTGGCATCTAAATTGAACCTTGGTTCCCTGAGCTTCACTCTGCAGGGGAGAACAGGCCTCTACCCATCTCCGTGTGACACCCCATCACATACCTGTATGTCGCCAACAGATCCCCTCTGAGTCTCCTCTTCTCCAGGCTGAAGAGACCCAGTTCCCTCAGTCTCGCCTCATCCCCCATCCCCTGCAAACTGGCCGCCAACCTTGTGGCCCTACGCTGCATTGACTCCAACCTGGCTATATCCTTTCTGTAATGAGGGGCCCAAAACTGAACACAATACTCCAGTTGCGGGCGCACCAGAGTCGTATGGAGCGGTAGTAATACCTCTCTCAATCTAGAAGCCACACTTCTGGCTATGCAACCAAGGGTGGTGTTTGCCCTCTTGACTACTGCATCACACTGCTGACTCATGTTTAGCCTGCAGTCGACCAGCACCCTGAGGTCCCTTTCACAACTGCTGCTCTCCGGCCACTTGTCATCTAACCTGTACTTATGACACCCATTCCTATGCCCCAAGTGCAAGACCTTGCACTTATCCACATTGAATGCCATCCTGTTGTCTCCTGCCCACTTCCATAGTCTGCCCAGATCCTTTTGGATCTGGAGTACCTGCTCCTCAGTTGTGGCCACTGCTCCAGTTTTAGTATCGTTTGCAAATTTGACCAGCAGAGTGTTCACACCTTCTTCTATTACCTATTCTTTCTTTTCAGACCTTAGTGTTAGTAATTCACCTGAGACATCATTTCTTGGTGAAACTATATGGAATTAATTATTTAAAATTATTTTAATTTTACACTACAATAGTTTTACAAGTTTTGGGGCCTATCTCCAACTGCCACCTCTGAGGGAGCTCAGTTGGTGGCAACAAAGAGAAGGGCCTTTTCAGTGGTGGTGGGAACCAGTGAGGCCCAACTGGTGCCAACATTACTATTTTTTTGGTGCCAGGTAAACACCGCCCTCTACAGCAGGACACTCAAATAGCTTACTGGGGCCTGCTAAGCTGTTAATTTAGGTCTGAATCTCCTCCTCCATCTCCTCCTAGTTGTTATTTTATATCGTATGTATATTAACCTGTTTAATGTTGTTCTCTCCTTCATGGATCACTGCCTTGTCGTGGCGGAGGGGCTTGTGTAGCTCAATGAAGCTATGAGCTGTGCCGTGCAGGGCCACCCAAGACGGACAGGTCATAGCAGAGAGCTCTGACAAAACGTGATCCACAGGAGAAGGAAATGGCAACCCACTCCAGTATCTTTGCTGTGAAAACCCCATGGACAGTACCAAAAGGCAAAAAGATATGACGCCGGAAGATGAGCCCCTCAGGTCGGAAGGTGTCCAAAATGATACTGGGGAAGAGCGGAGGGCTAGTACTAGTAGCGCCAGAAAGAATGAAGTGACTGGGTCAAAGCCGAAAGGACACTCAGTTGCAGATGTATCTGGTGGTGAAAGGAGAGTCTGATGCTGCAAAGATCTATACTCCATAGGAACGTGGAATGTAAGATCCATGAATCAAGGCAAGCTGGATGTGGTCAAACAAGAGATGACAAGACTGAACATCGACATCTTAGGAATCAGTGAACTAAAATGGACAGGAATGGGTGAATTTAATTCGGATGAGCATCAGGTATACTACTGCGGGCAAGAATCCCTCAGAAGAAATGGAGTAGCCTTCATAGTCAATAAAAGAGTAGGAAAAGCAGTAATGGGATACAATCTCCAAAATGACAGAATGATCTCAGTTCGAATCCAAGGCAAACCATTCAGTATCACAATAGTTCAATAGTCCAGCCACTGGTGCTGAAGAAGCTGACATTGACCAGTTCTATGAACGCCTACAACACCTTTTAGAACTAACACCAAAAAATGATGTCCTTATCATCATGGGGGATTGGAATGCTAAAGTAGGAAGCCAAAAGATAACTGGAATAACAGGCAAGCTTGGCCTTGGAGTACAAAATGAAGCAGGGCACAGGCTGGTAGAATTTTGTCAAGAGAGTACGATGGTCATAGCAAACACTCTTTTCCAACAACCCAAGAGACGACTCTACACATGGGCATCACCAGAAGGTCAACACAGAAATCAGATTGACTATGTGCTCTGCAGCCAAAGATGGAGAAGCTCTATACAGTCAGTAAAAACTAGACCAGGAGCTGACTGTGGCTCAGATCATGAGCTTCTGGTTGCAAAATTTAGGCTTAAGTTGGTGAAAGTAGCGAAAAGCACTAGGCCACTCAGATATGAACCTAAATCATATCCCTGATGAATATACAGTAGAGGTGACAAATGGATTTAAGGAATTAGATCTGATAGACAGAGTGCCTGAAGAACTATGGACGGAGGTTCGCAACATTGTACAAGAGGTAGCAACTAAAACCATCCCAAAGAAAAAGAAATGCAAGAAAGCAAAATGGCTGTCCGAGGAAGCTTTACAAATAGCTGAGGAAAGAAGGGAAGAGAAAGGCAAGGGAGAAAGAGAAAGATTCACCCAATTGAATGCAGAATTCCAAAGAATAGCTAGAAGAGGTAAGAATGCCTTCTTAAATGAACAGTGCAAAGAAATAGAAGAAAACAATAGAATAGGGAGGACCAGAGATCGCTTCAAGACAATTGGAGATATGAAGGGAACGTTTCATGCAAAGATGGGCATGATAAAGGACCAAAATGGCGGGGACCTAACAGAGGCAGAAGAGATTAAGAAGAGGTGGCAAGATTACACAGAAGAACTATACAAGAAAGAGCTTAACATCCCTGATAACCACGATGGGGTGGTCACTGACCTCGAGCCAGACATCATGGAATGTGAAGTCAAATGGGCCTTAGGAAGTCTGAGCAACAACAAAGCTAGTGGAGGTGACAGTATTCCAGCTGAGCTATTCAAAATCTTAAAAGACGATGCAGTAAAAGTGCTACACTCAATATGCCCGCAAATTTGGAAAACTCAACAGTGGCCACAGGATTGGAAAAGGTCAGTTTACATTCCGATCCCAAAGAAGGGCAATGCCAAAGAATGTTCAAACTACCGCACCATTGCACTCATTTCACATGCTAGCAAAGTGATGCTCAAAATCGTACAAGCTAGGCTCCAGCAGTATGTGAACAGAGAACTACCAGAAGTACAGGCAGGATTTCGAAGAGGGAGAGGAACTAGAGATCAAATTGCCAACAAACGCTGGATCATGGAGAAAGCTAGAGAGTTCCAGAAAAACATCTACTTCTGCTTCACTGACTATGCTAAAGCCTTTGATTGTGTGGATCACAACAAATTGTGGCAAGTTCTTAAAGAGATGGGAGTACCAGACCATCTTATTTGTCTCTTGAGAAACCTATATGCAGGTCAAGAAGCAACAGTGAGAACTGGACACAGAACCACTGATCGGTTCAACATTGAGAAAGGAGTTTGGCAAGGCTATAATACTGTCGCCCTGCCTATTTAACTTATATGCAGAGCACAGCATGAGAAAGGCAGGGCTAGATGAATCACCAGTTGGAATTAAGACTGCTGGGAGAAATATCAACAACCTCAGATATGCAGATGATACCACTCTCATGGCAGAAAGTGAAGAGGAACTAAAGAGCCTCTTGATGCAGGTGAAGGAGGAGAGCACAAAAGTTGGCTTGAAACTCAGCATTAAGAACTTCCTGGCAAATAGATGGGGAAGAAATGGAGGTTGTGACAGATTTTATTTTCCTGGGCTCCAAGATCACCGCAGACGGGGACTGCAGCCAAGAAATTAAAAGACGCTTGCTTCTTGGGAGGAAAGCTATGGCAAATCTAGACAGCATACTAAAAAGCAGAGACATCACCCTGCCAACAAACGTGTGTATAGTCAAGGCTATGGTTTTCCCAGTTGCAATGTATGGCTGTGAAAACTGGACCATAAGGAAGGCTGAGCACTAAAGAATTGAGGCCTTTGCATTATGGTGCTGGAGGAGACTCCTGCGAGTCCCTTGGACCGCAAGGCGATCAAACTGGTCAGTCCTAGAGGAGATCAACCCTGTCTGCTCTTTAGAAGGCCAGATCCTGAAGATGAAGCTCAAATACTTTGGCCACCAAATGAGAAGGAAGGACTCCTTGGAGAAGAGCCTAATTTTGGGAACAATAGATGGCAAAAGATGAAGGAGACGGCAGAGGATGAGGTGGCTGGATGGAGTCACTGAAGCAGTTGGCATGAGCTTAGGTGGACTCCAGGGGATGGTGGAGGAGAGGAGGGCCTGGAGGAATGTTGTCCATGGGGTTGCGATGGGTCGGACACAACTTCGCGACTAACAACAACAACAATGTGGTTCTAAATTTTGTATTGTTAACTTTTAATGGCATTTAATAAATTTTTAATGCAATCTATATTTTAATGTGCTTTGTGAACCTGCCAGAGAGCTTCTTTAATTATACTTAAATAAGTATAACTTTATTCAATACAGTATTTAAATAGATTTGGGGGGGGGGCTAGGCAAGTTCATAAAGCAACGAGCAAACAGGTATTCCTGAAAGATGTTTTTTCCATACCTGTTTATTTGTGCTTAAGTACTTAAGATATTTCGTGATTTTATACCTAGAAAGTCTATTGTTGTTGTTTTTTGCATAAGCTGAGCTTAATGTGGTAGAAAACAAGATTCAGCCTAGATAAATCATGTTTGAATGTAATATATGCATAAATTTTTGTTTACAGTTTTATTATGCAACACTGACCTTGGAGTAAAAAGTTATAATGCCTAATAAAAGCAGTAAAAATGATCTGGAGGATAAACATAAAATTAAAAAGGCCCATGGGATTTATTCTTAAGCCACTAAAAGCCTGGCCAATAAAAATGTCACAGTTTGTCCCCAGACATGCCCCCACCGTCTCTCTGTCGAGAGAGAGAGGAAATGTTTGGATGAGGTCTCAGATGTGGATATATGATAATTTCATTACAGTACACACATTACTCAAATTGTCCCAGGGATGTGTGATCCTGAACATGAATGCAAACAGAAGTGCATTTTCTTTGCATTTCTTTGAAACTGTTCACATGTTCCCTAACTTGCCTTCGCATTTGCAAATGTATACTTTTATGTATAAATGAGTACTTTTTCAATAAGTACGTATTTTAAATCACCTCCGCTTTTAGTCTACGGGAGAACAGTTCTGAAAATTTGGATATTGTTTGTGCCCCTAATAGTTGGTAGCTGTTAGTTTTGCACAGTTTCTCATTTTGTGCAAAACAAACAGCGGTTGGGTGTGTAAGCACAAAGCAAGGAGAGACCAGCAGCAAGATAATCTCGCTTTCAGCCATATGAGAGGAATGGTTTAATTTGGTTTTAGTCATCTGAGAGGGTTGGTTTAACTTGGAGTCCTGTACTGAGCAGGGGGTTGGACCTGATGGCCTTCTGGCCCCTTCAGATTCTATTGTTCTATGATTCTGTGGTGTAGAGAGAATCTTGGCAAGCTGTAACATCACTCAATCACTGACTGGTAGTCTCTGGTTCAAGGCCAGACTACTTCCAGTATTGTGACTGGGACAGACATCTGACTTGGGGAACCAGCAATCCTTGCACAGATATGATTCTAGCCATTTTGAGCCTCTTGTTCCGGCAGACTGTCTTTGCATGGACCTGCTAGTCTGCCTGGGTTATGTTTTGATATAACATTGCAATCACATACTCCTTGGTCCTGAAAATGGGAGAATAGAGATTACATCTGATTGTCCCATGACTGAGCTTGACTTTAATATGCATAGACCTGATGCATAGACCAGATGTTCCACATCTGGACATCAGACTGATCTCGTGGTGGGCCGAATTCACACAACTCACATCCCTCCCCTGCACCATTGATAGGATCTGGCTTGTTAATGCTACTTCTGCATGGGGCCAGAGGTATGTTGCCAGTGCTGAGATACCTGGGCCACTGATCAAACAAAAGGTGGCTTCATGTGCTACTTTTTATGCTATAAGCACAAAAACCTATAGGTACCATGTTCATTGCGTAAGGTGCATATGTATGTAAACTTCTGCTTTCCTCCTTAAAGTTCACAATATCCATTACCTAGGAGGGAAGGGGCATATCAGCTTATACATCAGTTACCCTCCACAAGAAATCTGGCATGAATGTACCTTTCCCTTGTCTCCCTTTATTGTTGTAAGCCGCCCCGAGGCTTCGGCGAATGGGGCGGCATAAAAATGTTTTAATAAATAATAAATAAAATAAAGGTATACCAGGTAAATAGGCCATTTCTGTATAATGTGCCAGCCTCGTGCAGAACAGCTTCCTTACCTTGTGAGTTTTTCCTGAATATCCATGCATTTCTGCGCTAACCCCTCTCCTTTTTCATCCTGTTTTCAAAGGTCCCAAAGGGTACAGATGAGAATTGGGCTCAGAAACTCTACGACCGCCATGGAAGCAGCCAACACTTCCAGAAACCGCGCATGTCCAACACTTCCTTTATTGTTGTGCATTTCGCAGATAAGGTAAAGGCAGTTGCCCAGGGAGGTATTTGTGTAGTCAGGGACAACCTGTGCCAGTTCTTGAATGATGAATTGCATCTGCCAGTGGCTTGACAAGGCCCGGTGTAGCGGCTGTGGAATGTATTTATCTTCCCTTTGTCAGGACAGGTGAAAGCCCAAGCTAATTATGAGTGAGTTGAAAGGCTGCATTTGGGTTGGGGTGGTAGGGCTGGGCTAGGGAGAAGAGAGAGTATTAGCCTTCTTACTTCAGTTGCATCACTGAGTCTCCCCATGATAGAGCAGATCGGTAGGGCTTGCCGTGAACCAGGAAATTGGATTGGAATCTCGCTTCTTCTTGGCCCTGCATCTGTGTTTTAACAACAGCTGGATCCCCAGTGTTCAATTGCCTAATTGCATTCATAGAAGCAAGGCTTCCTCGTGCCAGACTCTGATGAGTGGGGCAAGAGCTGGGCTGGAAAAACACAGGCAATGTTGCCAAGAAGTTTCCATTCAGTGGAGAAGTGCTCAGCCTCGTGTGTCTTGTCATTTCCCTTGGAAGTCTTCTCTCCATGAGGCCAAGGGCAGAGGAGAGCAATGAGAAAATCAGTAGCACATCTGTGGTGTTCATTCCCTTCATTTCTGTACCCGTTTTGCTCTAAAACTGTGGGCCTCTGCTCCCCTTTATCAACTTTTTTGGAGCACACCCAGTAAGGAAATGGTTCGGCTGCTGTCACTGCTTGAGGCTTTTAAGTTGGAGAAGGGCTCTGGCGTTACCATCAGTGGGGAGTGGATGTGAAAAATGCAACATGGAGTGCAATTGAAAATCCATTGTAGGTTTTGTCAGGAAAGTTCCTTGAGCAGAAGGCTTGGGCTGTACTGACAGATTGTTTACGAGCTTTCTTTAATATTGGTCCAACAGTGACAGTGAGGCAGTACGTTGAGGGTCGATTCTGGGAGATACTTTGTCCTGAAAGCTTTAGAGGATGAAGGTGTGCAATTTATTTTGCAATCTTAAACTGTACCCTAGTTCTGACAGATGATGAGCAGAGCAAATAAGTATATTTTAGGCACCTGCGGTTAATGTGTATGTTGTTTAAAAAGGAAATCAAAGCAGTTGCCAAAGAAGGTTCCAGGAATCCTGTTCCACTTCTTCCTTCTCCAAAGGTTGTCAATTCCCCTTTTAATCAACTCATAGTTACACAGAATATTTTCCTCAGATCTTGCCCCATTGATGCCAACCTGAGAGGGAATCATATACTTCCCCCCTCTTCAAATTTACTTTCTTCAATATGATTTACATGGATGAGGGGTTGTGCACAGCTAGAATTATTTGTGGAAATCACAAATAGCAAGAAATAACAAATCCAGTGTAAAAAGAATTCCCAGATAACCCTTTTCTGATCCTTTTTCTTTAAACTAAGGTGATTAGTGATTTGAGGATGTTGTCATAGGTAATTCAGGGATTTCAAGAGCATGGCTTACTTTAATGCAAAAGTCATCCTCTTGCAATGCATTTGTATCTTCCTTAGGTTCATAGTAAAACCCCAGCTTTTATTTAAGAAGTTTCTAGTTAACATGTTCACTAAGAGACTGAAAAAAGGGAAGCAAACAAAGTGATAGTCAGCTCCATAGCCTTTTCACGCCAACTCAGTTTGGTGGAATTCAAGAACTGGTCATTTGAACCTGGGCACAGATCCTAATTATGGGTGCCACCAAAAACACCTGCTCTTGAATGCATGCTTTGCAAGAAGCTGTGCTCAGAGTTTTAACTCCCCCCACCCCCCTTTGCTCTGTAACCTGTCCTAGGTGGAATACGAGTGTTACGGCTTTCTGGAGAAAAACCAAGATACTGTTCATGAAGACCAGATCAATATACTGAAGGCCAGCAAGGTAAAACCTGAGATACCAAGGTGGGCACAGGTGGTGGTGGGGATTGACTAACACCTGTTTTGGCAGCATTTTATGTATCATCACTGCTTAACCTCCTCCATTTTCCTTCTTCTCCTGAGTGGTTCACTTAAGGTTGATCTGCCTCCTTTGCCTTCTTATCTACATTGGTTTATTTAAAATAGTGTGATATAGGGATGTACTGAACTGGGGAATCTGGCTAATGTAGTTCCATAGATTTCCTGCCTGCTTGTGATCCCCAAGCTGGGGAGGGGGTGTATGATTAACTGCAATTTGCATTTTTAAGCTGCTAATGAAGTTTGTGCAGATAAGCTCCCCAAAACCATGTAGCTCCAGAGCAATTTGTGCAGAATCTGTCAATTTGCACAAGTCAACCAGTTCTGCACAAATTGGCTGATTCTGAAGTGATTGTGCTGGGGTGACATGGTTTTGGGTACTTCTTTGCACAAATTTCATTTGTGGTTTAAAAATGCTCAAATTCTAGTTCATCCTACAGATAGAAGTCGTGAGCTGGGTTGATTCACCCCATGGTGAGTCGGTCCCAGCAGAAGGCTAACAAACCAGAATCTGGGGGCCAGATCATGGAAATCTGTTGGATTCCTGACCCTTCCCTGGATTACTCACACGTCCCTGGTGTGAAGTCCCATCTCATTAACCCAGTCTTTTGCCACCGTTTGGTCAAGAAAGGTCTCCATGGCAGTAGAGGAAACTGGGATCAGTGGCTTGGTCATACTAGAAGAGAGCCAAAGAAAATTAATTGATGTGCTGGCAGTTGTTTTTGAATCTTTTGGTGTCCTTCAGCTATTTTACCTTTCATGCAGGATGTTTCTTTGATGCATAGACAGCTATGACAGCTACTAGACTCACTTCTGTACAGGACTAAGTAATTTGAGAGCCAGTCCTAAATTTGTACAAGCATTTGGAGCATCTGTACCACATCCTAGTTAGTCTAAGCAAGTCTGTTTCTGATCCACGTTGCCTTCGCATGTGAACGTTTGTTCCAGACATTTTTATCCCACTGGCAACATTTAAGCTGGCTAACCAAGTACATAATAAACGTATACTGCTCAGCTTTTAACGCAAGGATCTTGTGAATCACTTGATGACGTGCAGCTTAATTGATTCCACTGAAAAACATTGCGCTTGGAGCAAAATGGCAAGTGGCAGTATTTTTCTGTGTTTCCCTTCAGTTTTCCTCCCTCGATGCTGGTATAAATCTGTGCATATTTCCCATATAATTCTACTTCTGGCTTCATGGGCTTTTTTACACTTCTTCTTAAGACATTATTATTATCATATAGCACTAATATGAAGAGTTGCTATTAATACATTTATAACCCGCCGTTTTCCCCTTGTCAGGAGCACAGGTGGGCTTACATAGTCCTTTCCATCTGATTCTGACATCAGCCCTGGGAGGCAGGTTGCACTGAGAACCACTGACTGGCCAAATGCCACCCACTGCACTTCATGGCTGAGTGTGGACTAGAACCCAGAGCTCCCAAGTCCCAGGCCAGCCGTCTAACCACTGCACTATATAGCCTGATTATATATAATCGCACCCTTTCCTAATGCAGAGGCACCCAGCATGAAGCAGGGCCATTGGCAGAGTGAGGCAGCGGCCTGGGGCACAGATCCTAAGGATGGGGGTGGGCAGCTGTGGCTGCCCTCTGGATGTGCCCCTTTGTTGGAGGACAGGGTTGTGTGTTGCATGCCACTGCCGTGCACCTCATAAGCCAGCCTGTGTTGTGCGTGTGTGCTCGGATGAGATTCCCAGGCGCGCGCGAGAGATGGAGGGCTCTGCTGGGAATGGCGGCTCAGACTCGGGGGAGAGGAGTGGAGAGCTGGCCCAGCCCTGGCTCAGAGATCTCACTCTGATCTCGGAGTTGGTGAGACTAGTGAGGCCCCGGCTGCTCAAATTCTCCTGCTGAGCCAGCCCGAGCCAGCGCTGGATCAAGCGCTTCAAGGACAACCACTGAGCCCCCTCCCACTCCTGATTGTGGGGAAGAAGCCAGTGGAGAACAGGCTGGGGAGGGGTTCTCGGGAGGAGAACTTGACACCCCAGGAGACGTGGACGCAAGGGCCCATTGATGAATCCACCGGCTGGACCAGTTAGAGGTTCAGTGGGAAGAACATTGAACTCCCATAGTGCACCTCTCTCCCGAGACCGGCCCCCAAGGGTTCCTAAGCAAAGCTTTGGGTGAAGGGGGGCAGAGTGACATTCCTCCTGGTGTGTGTGTGTTTCGAGGCTTGTGAATACATTGTTTCTGTGCGGAATAAAGACTCTTATTTGTGTGTTTGTTTATTTATTTGTTTGGAATTTTTCTATGCCGTCCCATTCGCATAAGCCTCAGGACAGCTTCCAACATATAAATAAATATCTATACATATAAAATCTGGAAACATCCTGGCAATAATTTAAAACCAATAAATAAAATCAGCACTTAAAATATCATTTGAATAAAAAGGTCTTGGCCTGGCGCCGAAAAACAAATAACGACGGCGCCAGGCTGGCCTCTCTGGGGAGCACATTCCATAGGTTGGGCGCCACCGCAGAGAAAGCCCTCCTCCGGGTACTCACCCTCCTAATATCTTTCACGAAGGGTTCCCGGAGAAGGGCCTCTGCCGCCGATCTCAGGAGGCAGGAGGGCAGATATGGATGCAGGCGCTCCTTTAGATATCCAGGTCCCAAGCCGTTAAGGGCTTTATAGGTGATAACCAGCCCCTTGAATTGGGCCCAGACTTCAATGGGGAGCCAGTGAAACTGACAGAGGACTGGGGTTATATAATAACAACGCCCAGTCCCCGTCAGCAACCTGGCAGCTCTATTTTGCACCATCTGAAATATCTGGACTGTCTTCAAGGGCAGCCCCATGTCAAGTGCGTTACAGAAGTCCAATCGGGAAGTAACCAAAGCATGTGTCACTGTTGCCAGGCAATCGTTCTCCAGGTAGGGACTCAGCTGATGGATCAACCGAAGCTGAAGGAAAGGGCTCCTCGCCACCATTATCATCTGAGCTTCTAATGACAGCTCTGGGTTGAGGAGCACCCCCAAGCTGCAGACCCTGGCCTTTAGAGGGAGTGTTACCCCATTCAGGACAAGGTCCAGGTCCCCTACCCCGAAGCCCGAACCCCTACCAACAGGACCTCCATCTTGTCTGGATTGAGCTTCAGTTTATTGGCCCTCATCCAGCCCATTATCTCGGCCAGGTACCAGTTCAGTACAGCCACTGCCTCACCTGGATTGGTGGAAAAAGAGAGCTAGAGCTGGGTATCATCAGCGTACTGATGATTCCGCAGCCCACACCTCCTGATGACCTCTCCCAGCGGTTTCATGTAGATGTTAAATTGCAAGGGGAACAAAATGGACCCCTGTGGAACTCCATGGCATAGCTGCCATGGCGCAGAGCCATAGTCCCCCAGCACCACCTTCTGGAGTCGGCCGTTGAGATAGGAGCGGAACCACTGCAAAGCAGTGCCTCCGACCCCCAATCCCGCTAGCCTATCCGGAAGGATACCATGGTCGATGGTATCGAAAGCCGCTGAGAGGTCCAGGAG